TAGAACTGTTTTTTCCCATTGGATTTTTCCTATAGATGGATTTCTAGAGTCACTGGATTTTGCACTAAATGACACCGAAAGCATGTATGGTTTTGGCTGAACTCTCTCAGTATGTGTCAGAAGGAGCTGCTGCAGTCTCCAGGAGGACTAGGGCTGGCCGTGCCTGTCTTTCATGGCCATCTGAGCAGCCACTGGCTGAGGCACCATTTGAAAAATGCAACAGAACTTTGCCTAAAGTCTTTCCTCCTTGGCTGTTGATGATTTCTTTGCAATTCATTGATTTTTCTTTTGGTTTTTTTTTTATTTAGAATGAAGTTTTCTGTGATTGTTCTCTTCTCCAAAGTGGGTTTTTACTCTAAGCATAATGAAGTCTTTCAGTAGTACAGGAATGGCACTTCTGTAACACAGAAATGAAATGCTTCCCACTTACTCATGTACTGCTCAAAATTAACCCTTAATGTTCCAAGTCCTTGTAGTATTGCCTAGTTTGTGGCAACCTGCCAAGGCTGAACACAGGACAGGGCAAGGAACAGGTCTGGAACTGTTCTTTTTCATTTAATGTGTGATTTGATAGATTACACTGAGTGGGAGTGCCAAAAGACAAAGGTAAGGCTCCTCTTTCACAATCTACAGCAAACAAGCCTGCTACCCTGCATGTTGTAAACCCCTTGTACCTTGTCCCTAGGAAGGCCCACAACCCTGTGTGAGACGATGGGGAAAGCAGAGATATGGTTAATCAGAACATACTGGGATTTTGAATTTCCACGCCCTCTCCTGCCCAACTTTGAGTTCGTTGGAGGACTTCACTGCCAGCCTGCAAAGCCATTACCAGAGGTATCCTGACTTTGTTCTGCCATCAGTTGATTATTGGCCCAGCAGAACAAAAAAACGCTTCTCTCCCTGCTCAACCGCACAAGCCCTGTCCCGAGAAAGGTCATTTTTAAAGAAGATGCTCTGCTGCTGGTGGGGAGCATGGACCTATTTAGCAATCTGCCCAGATTTCTGCAAACTGAGGACTGGGTTTACAGCCTGTTCTCTGAAAAGGTGATAGCTGAGGCCAGCAGGAGTGGATATGATGTTTGTTTTAGGAAAACAGGTGCTATCTCATAAGAGTTATTTCTAAGATAGACTTGCAGCCTGTGATAGCATCAAAATACCTGACACAAAAAGGTACCGTGAAGGGACAAATTCTTTCAACCAAAGAGTCAAGACTTAAAGAGACTAGTGCTAAACACCTTTTCTGTTATTGCTTAGTTTAAGACATCTTAAAGAGTAACATACTTAGCCTCCAGCCTATGCTCTGCTTTGACTGGCAATATTCATGGGAATTGGAAACTCACAGATACTGACAATGGCAACAAGACAAGCTCTGGTCTAGATTATCACCCTGTAGGAGCCTTACAGGAGGTGGGGTATTTTCAGTGCAAGTTGTCTACTGGAAAAAAAACCCTTTTAACTGGTTTTCCCTCTCCCCTGTAGCAAAGGGGAATGCATAACGATTCCCTTTTTTGGATGCTATTGCTCCATTTTGCATGACACCAGCTAAAAAAAGGAACAGGAAGACCTATTGGTCTGATTTGTATAAAATTTGTTTAGAGACAAGTGCTGCATTGCAAGAAATGGAGAACTGGCTCATGAACAAAGTGACAGCAGCCACTTGATCCATCAGGATGTTGCAAAACCCTGACACTTCTCAGCACTGTCTCTTCCCACAGACCTACGAAATGAGAAATACTTGTTGCAGGAAAATCTAGAACCTTGACTGACCGTCCTAGGGAGGGTGCCACAGGGTACAGCCCTCTCACCCGGTAC